GGGCATTAAGCGCATTCACCCCCATCCATCTCCAGAATTTTTTCATCTTCCCCAACTGAAACTCTGTACACATTCAAAACAAAATCCCCAATCCCCCCTCCTTCTAGCCCCTGGCAACCACCATTTTACTCTCTATCTCTATGACTTTGACTCCTCTAGGTACCTCATGTAAGTGGAATCATACAATATCTGTCCTTTTGTATCTGGCTTATCTCACTTAGCATAACATCTTCAAGGTTTATATATGTTGTAGCATGTGTCAGAATTTCTTCCCTTTTTAAGGCTGAATAATATTCTACTGTATGGATACATCACAGTTTGTTTATCCATTCATCCACAGATTGACATTTGGGTTGTTTCCACATCTTAGCTATTGTGAATAATGGTGCTATGAACATTGCTGTACACATATCTGTTCCAGTGCCTACTTTCAATAATTTTGGACATATAATCCCAGAAGTGGAATTGCTGGATCATATGGTAATTCTATGTTTAATTTTTTAAGGAACAGCCATACTCTTTTCCTGAATCATACATTTTTAAACAGTGAATTCTACGGTATGTGGATTATATCTCAATTTTTTTTAAGTTTAAGCAATACAGAAGAAGTGATGTGAAATGTCCTATAAGACCACTAGCCTGGGCTCTTTAAATCCCACTCCTGGGCATATATCCCAAGAAAACCATAATTCAAAAAGATACATGCACCCCAATATTCATTGCAGCACCATTTACAATAGCTAAGACACGGAAGCAACCTAAATGTCCATCGACAGAGGAATGGATATAGAAGATGTGGTACATATATACAATGGAATATTACTCAGCCATAAAAAGGAATGAAATAATGCCATTTATAGCAACATGGATAGACCTAGAGATTACCATACTAAGTAAAGTAAGTCAGACAGAGAAACACAAATATCATATATCACTTATAAATGGAATCTTTTTTAAAAAACTGATACAAATGAACTTATTTACAAAACAGAAATAGACTCACAGGCTTCAAAAATAAACTTATGGTTCCCAAAGGGGGAATGTGGTGGGAGGGATAATTTAGGAGTTTGGGATTAACATATACATACTACTTTATATAGAATAGATAATCAGCAAGGACCTACTGTATAGCACAGGGAACTTTACTCAGTATTCTGTAATAACCTATATCGGAAAAGAATCTGAAAAAGGATGGATATATGTATATGTATAACTGAATCACTTTGCTGTACACCTGAAACTAACACATGTAAATCAACTATACTCCAATATAAAGTAAAAATTAAATTTAAAAAAACCTTTATGGTCATGAAAAATCAAAAAGTGTAGGGAGAAAGTTGTAGATTAAAAAAGAATAAAGAGAGCCAACAACAATAACAAAAATAGATGAGAAGGAATGTGGACAGTAGGTCACCCAGTTCCTACCCCCAACCCTTTCTTTCCTATCTTCCTGTACTGTAAACGCTAGAAGGGATGCAGGGGAGGTACTCAATTTTATAGCCCCTCTTGCAGCTCAAGGTGGACTTGTGATACAGTTCTGGCCAGTGAAATGTGATGGAAACCTACTGAGAATTTCTGGGAAGGCTTTTGCTTTCCTATCTCTCCCTCCTTTCTGGCTGGAAATGCAGAGATGAAACTGGAAATGGAGCAGCCATCCTGCAACCATATGTGTAACAAGCTCAACAACAAAGCACTGACATACTAAGAACGGAAGAATGGAAATCCGGCCATGAGTCCTTGATCGCATCTTTGATCTGCCACAACAGCCTTGGACTCTCTATCTCTGGACTTCTTGTTACATGAGATTAAAAAAAAAAAAAAGAATTCTTTAAGCAAGTGACAGATTTTTCTGTTATTTGCAGCCAAAAGCATTCCCATGCATTACAGGAAGACTTCCAGGAAGATGACAAATTGCTTAACCTCCCTGTACCTCAGTTTCCTCATCCATGAAATAAGAGTAATCATGGGAATTTGATGAAGTAACATCATAGGGTTGATGTGAGGACTAAAGTAGTTACTACTCGTAAGGCATTTAGACCAGAGCTTACATACAGGAACCCAATACATGTTAGCTGTTATTATTGCTGCTACTATTATTATTACTATTACTGATGTTACTGAAGAATGAGTCAATGTTCACAAAACTCCACTCTCTGAAGCCCAACAAACTGATCAAAAGGAACCCAAAGTAGAGATAGAGACTCCAGTGACAAACCTAGGTAACACCTATGAAACCATACTGCAGATGCTGGCTCATGAGATATGGACCAAACCAAAGGAGGACACTGGGAGGCAGTGGAATTTCACTGGGAAGAGCATGGACCCTGGAATCAACTTGACTGAATTCAGCTTCTAGATCTGCAACATATTAGATTGAAATGCTAGGTAAATCACAACATCTCTAAGCCTCTCTTTCCTCATCTGTAAAATGAGGACGATAATAATAGTCCCTAATTCAAAGAGTTGTTGTTAAGATCAAATGAAGTATGTAAAGTGCTTAACCCAGAGCCTGGCTTACAGTAAGTGTGCCAAATTATCCACCTCTGTATGCATTAGCTACTGACGTCGTTATCTTTGTTATTATCATCTCCAGAATCTTGAGAAAGGCGTTTGATAAATACTTGTTGGAATCATGGCAGATGGACGGACGAATGGATGGATGGATCCATGGATGGATGGATCAATGGTCCAATAGATGGATGGATCAATGGTCCAATAGATGGATGGATAAACAGATTCTCTTGGAGGTCAGGGAGTAGGTCTTTACAATCCCCTGCTGGTCTTGAATGCATTAACAACTTCAGTACACACACAGCCCCATTCATTATAGAACCTGCCTGGGCTCCCCCTTCTGCTTCCACAGAATGAAAAACATACCCTTAATTCACAGCCTCAGTGCACACAGCCCTCCCCACCACCGAAAATCACCTCTTAACAAAACTCTAAAAGGGAAATACATCTTGCTGCTGTTGGAATTATAGGTTGTCAACAGCCCAGCATTAGTGCATATCCCTACACTTTATTTATTTTTAATAGCAAAGGTGCTGGGCCCTTCGATCATGGGGAACCATGCCATATTTGAATCTCCTTACTGCCATCTGCCAGGGAAGGGGGCCACCTACCTGGCCCTACCCCAAGCAAACAGGCCAGCTTCAACCAGGCAGCGCTATAAATCATAATTAGCTGTTACCTTCAAACATGGGTGTGGAGGGTGAAGGACAGAAGCCCACACCAACCTCGGGCACAAAGATAAACCTCAGCTTGATTCACTGAAAGGTAATTACAGGGACTGGCAGAAGCTGGGGCCGGCTTTACTTTCTACTCGAGAAAAGCTGCAGGAACCTGAAAACTCCACATATTTGAAAATAATCCCTGAATTCCCACTGTGAATTTGTAGGTCGATCACTCATTGCTCCCAAATAAAGAAGTCGGCAAAGTACTTTGTTTCTTTCAGATGGAGGCAAAAAATGAGATACTGCCTTTTCAATGATTCCACAAGGGGAGGGGGAAGAACACCAGTGTTTATCAAGTGTCTGCTATGCACTGCACTAGACGTTTTATGTATATTTATTCATTTCAGTCACACATCTGTGAGGCTGGCAATATAGTTTCCCCTTTTACAGATGGGGAGACTGAGGTTTAGGAGTTAGATCATCTGCTCAGGGCACAAAGGTAAGAATGGGATCTGTACCCATATTTATATGACCCCAAAGCTCATGTGAGCTCCCAGAAGCCCCCACTGGTCATCTTAGTAGTTGGCGCATTTTGTGATTGATGCTCTTCCCTGACTGCCACAGACCTGCCCAGCCGCCCACAATGGTGTCCAGTCATGTGGACACTCTGGCCCAGCCAACCAGATGCTCATGCTGAGCTGACCTGCGTCTGCTGCCCACACACCCAACAGAGTTCCACGGGTGAGAAAGCTGCTCTAGATAAGCTGTCTACATGGTGTCTACGACTGGGCCGTTGAACTCTGCTCCAGGGTTTCACTCCTCTTCCCTGTTGGCACTGACAGTGTAGCTGTGGGTGGACACCTGGACCTAATTCCTACCACCCCAGGCCCCCAGGGCTGCCCCAGCCCTCTCTGGGTCCCTGGCTCATGCCCACATCACCTTTCTTCTCTTTCCCATTGAAACAGATATTTACCGAGCGTGTTGTATGAACCAGGCTCAATGCCACATTCTAAGGGTCCAGCAGAAAACAAGATAGCCACAGCAATAGCCCTCATGAAGCTCTTAGTCTAGCAAAGGAGATGGACACTAAACAATCAGAGATCGAACATGATTGATCTCCAGAATCATCCATTCCACACATCCAGTGGGAACACTGCTGACAGAGCATCCAGCACCATGGGTTATCTCATGGATTATCATCCCATGGATTATCATCCCATGGATTATCATCCCATGGATTATCTCAGTTTACCCTCCACAAGGCTCTATGAGTTGAGTATTAATGTTTTCCCAGCTTACAGATGGAGAAACTGAGTCCCAGAGAGGCTAAGTCAGTCCAACGGCTCACAGTTGACAAGTGGATGACTCAGGGTCTGAACCCAGGCAGTGTGATTCCAGAGCCCACCCTTAAGGCTGCCCAGCAATACATCCTCATAGGACAGACTTGGGTAGCCAATAGCCTCATTTACTCTGAAAATGAGTTTAAAAGATGATTCAGAGAGAGGCCAGCATACTCATACTGGCCAGATGTCACTTTTAAAACAGCTTGTTTTCACCAGTTGACAGGTGTCCAGGTGGCCCCGAGCACAAATCAGGACTCATTTCTTTGCCAGGAGGGAGAGCTGTGGCTGAGGACAGAGAACAAGCCCTCCCAGCAGCCCTTGGCAGGCCCAATCCGTCTGGCTGGCCGGCATCCCTAGCAAGAGGCCACAGCTGACTCCCCTCTCCTCCCAGGCCACGGGGAGGGCCGGCCACTGCGTGCAGACTGCGAGCCGTTGATTTCGGCTCTCTCCCTCTCTCCCCGGATCCCAGGAACCCGTCACTTACCCACGCACAAGCAGCCCATTCGAAGGATGGATATTACCTTCTGCGCTCACAGCAGAGTCGCACATCTCGATCCAAGCACAGATGGAAGACAAGGGCGTGGGGTTAATTGATCAAGTGGCACCGGCTCCTCTGAGAGGGGTGGCTCGTTTCGCAGATGTGCAGGCCCTTTGCTCGCCAGTCTCCTGTGATTAAACCAGGTCACTAATGCGCTTTTGAGCAACACACATGAACTTATTCATTCAGGTTCGTCTTGTCTCCTGCAAAATGGTCACCTTGGAATACCCCACTCACCTTCCTCCATTCTGCAAACGTGTGTTGAATATCAACCAGACACAAAGCATGTTGCTAGGCTGGTGGCTGGGGGGAGGGTTACAATTCAATGCAATTTGTTTCATCTTAACCAACATTTTTTGAGCACCTACTGGGTACAAGGTCCCCGTGGTAGACAACTGAAATAAGAAGATGGGTCCTACGGTCCAACGTGGGATAGACAGACAAACAAAAGAAGGTCCTTCAGGGTGGCAGGGTGTGAGGGGGGCAGGAGGTCAGGGGAGGGTAGAGCACAGGGTGGGGGACAATACAAGACATATGGTGCTAAATACTGGAAGAAATGGTAGTGTGTGTTAAGCTCAGAAAGGCAAGAAATGTCACAATCGTGTTATTTTCTCTAAATCTATCCCAGGTCTCAGCTTACCGAGCTGGCAGGAATTTATACTCCGGGTGCCCTTCTTGTCCCCCAGGATCCTGTGAAGGTCTCAACGGTCTTATAAAGAGCCCTCTTTGTGGATGTCCAGTGGTTGTAGGTCCACATTGGTAGCCTTTGTTAGGGTTGTTGCCTGAGCCCTTGGTGTTCCTTGGTGGCAGATGGCAATGCTGCCTCCGTGCTAAGTTGGGCTCAGGAAACTCTGCCCAGACTGGGAGCCCCAGTGTCAGGGACCCAGCCTCCTTAGAAGCCCTCACAGTCATCCCCTCTGGATCCTGCTACCTCCAGGAATTCCCTTCTCCCGACCGAACCTCAAACAACACGTGCTTCCTAGTCTTTAGGAATACTCTCTCTCTCTCCCCCTCCCCCATCCCGTTCACCTAGTTCCACTTTATCCCTTCAAAGGCCTCTCTCTCTCCCTCCTGACTTTGCGTTACTCTCCCCGCACCCAGGAAGCCCAGGTTTTCAGGAAAACCAAGAAAGAGACCCCTGTTCAGGCAGCTTCTCCTTTTCATCCTACCATACAAGCGCCCCCTTAGCAAGGGAAGACAAAAAGCCCCTCCGCCTTAGCATAGGGAACTCAAGAGCACACAAAAATTAACGTATTAAGTTATCCCACCTGTCAAAGGAAGACTCAGACACAAAAGGACTCAGAAAAGAAAATTTTACTTGCAGAATGCAAGGGAGTCAGGCTTCAGAAGGACTGGCTTACCAAACACAAAACACAGCAATTATTTCAAGGAAAACAATTGCCAAGTCACCAGGCTCACTGGGTTTACATTTATCTGCTCATGGAGTGAAAACAGCAACTTTCACACATGATTTTCATAATCGCAAAGGTATCTTCACAGATAATCATAGCAAAAATCAAAGATAAAATTGTCTTTCTTAGGGAGTCCAGGATTAAGGGAAGTATCCAAGGATTTACTATTTGGGGGACCCTGGTGTTTGGGGGTTGTCTCAGGGTTATGAACCTGTAGCTGTGTTGGTTCAGTGTCTCTTTTTCCGAGGATGTGGTACGTGAAGTGACTGATCATATAGCAGGACAAAGTGGTCACTGGGGCTTCTACACACCGTATGATCAATTGAGAAAATGCAGCAGGCATCCAAACTAGTTGATCAGGGGAGATCATGAAAGAACCAGTGAGAGACCTTAAAGCATGGACAAGCTGGCACGTGCATGGGGGAGGGTACAGACACAGGGCGTGTTCACCCAGCCGGGCGGCTCACCTTGGAGCGCGGATGGCAGGGGAGGCTGGAGGAGCTGGCTGAAGGTCAGGCGAGGACCGTGGGTGGGTTTCCCCAGTATCTCGACTGTCCAGACCGTGCCAAGAACAGCAACTCTGTGCCGGTGGCGTCGAATCCCTGAAACACTCGCTGGACATCGAGGCCATTTAATCCAGCCTCTTCCAACTCAGATGGGAAAACTGGGTCCAGAGAGCTTGGGTGTGTCCCCACAATATCTTCAGTGATAGCATGTTTGGCCTTTGGGTCAGGGGATTGGGGGCAGGAGGTGGATTTTTGAAAAGACTAAAAAGACATTCAGAATCAGGGATGGTCCATCAGGCAAGGACCGACGCGGGCAATGCCACTTCCTATTAACATTTCTGTAGAAGTAATTTTAAAGTACAAAGACAAGAGTAAGAGCAAATTTCTTATGCTGTTATCTGCCACTGAAGGCCATTCCCAAGAGAATCCAAACACTCTGAACAGACCGGCTGGAATATGGACACAGCCTCTCCTCCCAATGGGGTCAATACTCCTTATGACAGTTACACTCTGGAGGTCTTTCTTTGTTCTTATGTATTATTGCTCATTTTAATTAAATATAACAATCCACATTCACTGTCAGATATCTAAACAATAAAGAAGGAAACAGAATAAAAAGCGAGGACTCCCTTTAATAGCTATCCCCAATCTCACTCTCTTCCCCAAAGACAAATAATCTTAGCAATTTAGCATCTACCTTTCCAGATTTTTGCTCTATTCACCAATTTGTATGCATATAAACTCATTTAGAGAAGGGTTTTCCTACTCAAAGGGCACTACACAATATACCCTTCAGCTTTGTCTTTTATCCACTGAGCGTGGCATCATGAGCATCTTTTCATGTCAGATAGCTTGACCTCCTTCTTTCAAACAGCTGCAAATTATGTTGTGTGGGTGCTCCGTAATTGATGTAAATGTTCCTTAGTAATGCACATTTAGAATATCTTCAAGTTTCTTACCAACGTAAATAATGCCACAATGAACACGTATATCTTTGTACACACACACATATATATATATATATTCTATAGAACAGACTACTGGAAGTGAAATGCTGATTCAGTGAATATGTATATTTTATACTCTTGGCATTAGCACAATACGGGAGAGACATTCATCTTGTACCTCCCTCACGAAACAAGATATTAATGACCTGTTTAAAATGTTTGTCCGTTTGATTACAGAAGACAGTATCACATATTAATTTGCACTTTCTTAATTACGAGTAAGGTTGAATTGCTTTTTTTTACTTTTAATAAATTTATTTTTGGCTGCATTGGGTCTTTGTTGCTGCACACAGGCTTTCCTTAGTTGCGGCGACTGGGGGCTACTCTCCCTTGCGTGCGCAGACTTCTCATTGAGGTGGCTTCTCTTGTTGTGTAACACGGGCTCTGGGCACGCAGGCTTCAGTAGTTGTGGCATGCAGCCTTCATTAGTTGTGGCGCACGGGCTTAGTTGCTCCGCGGCATGTCGGATCTTCCCGGACCAGGGTTCAAACCTGTGTCCCCTGCATAGGAAGAGGGATTCCTAACCACTGTGCCACCAGGGAAGCCCTGAATAACTTTACTTATTTATTTATTTATTTATTTTTTGCGGTACGCAGGCCTCTCACTGTTGTGGCCTCTCTCGTTGCGGAGCACAGGCTCTGGACGCGCAGGCTCAGCGGCCATGGCTCAGGAGCCCAGCCGCTCCGCAGCATGTGGGATCTTCCCGGACCAGGGCACGAACCTGTGTCCCCTGCATCGGCAGGCAGACTCTCAACCACTGCGCCACCAGGAAACTGACCTGTGGTTGTGTCAGTTCATGTCCTCTGAGAAGCAGATGCCAACATGGGATTAGACAAGCAAGAACCTTTTGGGGGAAGTACCTCTGGAGGACAAAGGGCAGTAGGAGGAGGAGGCAGGAAAGGCTTCGGACCAAGTGCAGGGCTGACACTTGTGATAGAAGAGGGGAAGGAAGGATTGGATAGGAAGATCCTCGGACACAACACAATTCTGAGAAAGCCTCCATCAGGCCACTGGGGACTTTCCAAGAGACTAGTTCAAAAGCCCTACAGTGCTTGGTCACTGGCTGGGAACAGGGGAAGCATGGCTCAGAGTGACCATGGATCAAAAGATGCTCTAGCTTGAGGCTGTCAATCACTTCTTCTCCCCACAGGAGATTCTTTTGAAAGGAGATCTGAGCAGCTTCTCCATGGCCATTGCTGTCATCAGTCTTCCCTCTTCTAGAAGGTACCTGGCCACACCCTTTGCCTACTTTTTTTACTATTTGTTTTTTGTTATTGATCTGCAGAAACTCTTCTTATATCTAGTGTAGCAGTTCTTGGTTGTATATGCTGCAAGTGTATTCTCCCAGTCTTTGCTTTCTTTTAACCTTGGCTCTGTGTTTCACCGTATAGATTTTTTTTTCTAAGTTTAAAAATTTTTTCTACAGTAAAAATATGTTCATTCTTTTCCTTTAATGCTTCTGTGTCTTACTCAAAAATGTTGCCTTCCTTATTAGACAAATGCAAATCAAAACTACAATGAGGTACCACCTCACACAGGTCAGAAAGGCCATCATTAAAAAGTTCACAAATAACAAGTGCTGGAGAGGGTGTGTAAGAAAGGGAACCCTCATACACTGTTGGTGGGAATGTAAGTTGGTACAGCCACTATGGAAAATAGTGTGAAGGTTCCTCAGAAAACTAAAAATAGAATTATTATATGATCCAGCAATCCCACTCCTGGGCATATATCCAGACAAAACTATAATTCAAAAAGATACATGTACCCTTATGTTCATAGCAGCACTATTCACAATAGCCAAGACATGGAAACAACCTAAATGTCCATTAACAGATGAATGGATAAAGAAGATGTGGTACATGTATACAATGGAATACTATTCGGCCATAAAAAAATAACAAAATAATGCCATTTGCAGCAACACGGATGCAACTAGAAATTACCATACTATGTGAAGTAAGTCAGAAAGAGAAAGACAACTACCATATGATATCACTTATATGTGGAATCTAAAATATGGCACAAATGAACCAATCTACAAGACAGAAACAAACTCACAGGCATAGGGATCAGACCTGTGGTTGCCAAACAGTGGGGAGAGGGATGGACTGGGAATTTGGGGTAGGTAGATGCAACTTATTACATTTAGAATGGATAAACAAGGTCCTACTGTATAACACAGGGAACTATATCCAATATCCTGGGATAAACCATAATGGAAAAGAATGTATATATGTGTGTAACTGAGTCACTTTGTGTACAGCAGAAATTAACACATTGTAAATCAACTATACTTCAAGTTAAAAAAATTTCTTTAAATGTCGTCTTCTTTTAATAGAAGGGGAGGAGGGTCCCATTTCTTTTTCTCATACCTTCCCTGGCTGCACAGTACATTATGGACACAAATTTAGTATAAACGATTATTATGCACCAGCCAGGGCTCGACTGAGTTTGTTTCTCATCATTTCCAGCTTTTTGCCATGTAATTATTACAAAGTATGTTTCCTTTTGAAATTAGTTGCTGAGCTCTATTTGTTCATGATCCCCCCCACACACAATGTCATCAATGAATTTTGTGCAGCAGGAAGAAAATCTTTGCAATAAAAGACATGTGCAAGCTTCAGCTGGTAGGTGAGCCCCCAGCTAACAGAAAGCTGTGGACGGAAGGAAGAGAAGCCCATGAGGAGCCCATGATCAGAGGACCCTGCTTCTACCCACCAGAGAGCTGGAGAGACTCTCTTAAGAACTGTGATCCACCCCACACACGCCCGGATCATCTCTGCCGCCTCCTTTTGGCTTTCTCCATAGTAGCTCCCATAAGCTCTAATTGTCTCATTTATTGCTTGGAAACAGGAGTTTCTTGGCCCATTTAGGGCTCCCTATTAGGCAAGTGGCTGTGGATATCTGCTGACCACTAGTCCATTTGGAGAGGGATTTGGGGAGCAGGGTCCACCTTGCAGGGGATAACCAGCCACAGCCAAGCAAGACCTTCTACTGCCCCATGTTAACCATATTCTATCTTATCCTCCGATGTTACTGCCGTCAGTTCCTTCCAGGGACCTCGCAGGGGACAGCTCAGCATGTCCCTGGATGCCCTCTGCCATAGCCACCCACCCTCAGCTGCTCTTAAACACCCCAAGACCACATCAATTAGCCCCAGACAATTATCAGTTATCTGGGACTGTCTTGAGCTCACATTTTTATGTCAAGATGAATTTGGATTCTGAAGTTGATCTCCTTATTGTGAGGGTTTTATGAGGGAAAGATTAAATCGTCCTCTGATGTGTGCTTCATTAGGCCCCAAATCCTTGAAGAGGCATTAAAGCACCTTCTCACTGAAACGCTCTCCATCTCAGCTTGATGGATATTGGCAGGAATAATCCCTCCATTATTTGGGAAGCTCTACTGGATGGGAAGCTCTGCTGGATGTGATTTTGCCGCAGTCCTTTAAGCCTGCCCCTTCTGCAGCTGGTGACCCCCAAAATCCATGAGTGTGACAACCCCAGAGGCTGATCCTGTTCTGTTTTTCCCAGGAAGAGACATTTCCTACCCCTCCCCTCAGAGGATGGATTAGCCCTGCGTCAACTACACTCTCACCAGGAGCCGACAGCTGCAGATCCCGTCCGTGAGCTGGGTAGGGGTGTCAGTCCATGGTCAGGGCACAGCTACGGCAGGATCATGGCTCAGACTGGAAGCAGGGTCAGGGCCCAGTCTGGGACGAGGACCAAGACTCAGTCTATTATCAGAATCAAGGCAAAGTCTGGAAGCAGCGTCAGAGTTGTGTCTGGGTATAGAATCGAGATCCGGTCTATAACCAGAATCAGGGCTCAGTCTGTGGCCAGGGTCAAGGCCTAGCCTGTGACCTGGTTACCAGCCCAGTCTATGGCCAAGGGGTCACTGATGGACCCTGTCCTGGCATCAACCCCACCTCAGCTCAGGGAACTAGGATCTGGCACCTTGCTTGAGCACAGCTGGTCTCAAATATCAGACAGACTTGTTCCCAGCCAAGTTGTGCCAGCAGCCACTGAGAGACTCAAGCTACTTCAGGTGAGAGGAAGCGGGCAGGAGTGTCTGCAGGTGAGGGTCTGGATTAGCAATGGGGTGAGGAGAAGCTGGGGCAGAACCGTGAGAGGTCTGGACTGGCGGCAGGAGAAGCCAGTGTCACCAGGGCCTCAGCCTCAGAAATCCAAGGCAAAGGGATCCCGCATCATTCCAACCCTTTCCCAGCAAAACTTACCACTTGCTCAGCTTTCTGATTTCAGCAGCAAAAGAGCCAGAGTCTTCGGAGGAGGATCCAGGGCGATGCCATGTTTCCCTCCCATCATGGCTGAGGGAGGGAGAGAAGTGAGGTCGTTCTGCTTAGTATGAAGCAGGCCGGATATATGCTGGGTGACCTTCAACAAAGCACTCTTCCTCTCTGGGCTTCAGGAGACTCTTCTACAAAAGGAGGAGCTGGAATTGCTCATCTGCCAGGCTTCTTCAGATCAGCCAACTGGGAAAAGGATGAGAACAGAGCACCAGTTAAAGGAAGAGCATTGACGATGTCCCAGGCAAGAGAGAGAGCTTCGTAGGTCTGAGCCCCTGGACTAAGCCTGGTGTGACTGGACACAGAGTGAGAGAGGACAGATGGGGGAGGAGGGAAGAAAGACAGGTAGCAACTAAGCCCGCAGGGCCCGGGTGCAAAGGAAAGGAGTCTGGTTTTTATCCTGCAGGCAATGAAGAACCTTAAAGGGTTTTTAACAGGAGAGTGAACACCGTTGGGTTTGCATTTGAGGATGAGCTGTCTGCTTTCTTTATGTAGGACAGATCAGAGGGTATAAAGGTGGAGACAGGGAAAAGACTATGCAGTTGTCTAGGTGAGAGATGCTGAATTAGGGAAGGGGGCAGAGGAAGTGGTGGGAGAGGGACAAATCTGAGAGCAATGTAGTGGGTAGAATCTACAGGACTTGATGACCAGCGAATACGGGGGAGAGGACGGGGTCAAGGGGAACTGGTGAAGTCCAAGGCTCTGGCTTGTACAATAGCTGGAATGTAGTGAAACTCACTGAGATGGGAAGAGCAGAAGAGGAGGGATTGGAGGGGAAGATAACAGTGAATTCCAATCTGGACCTGTGGAGTCTAAGATGCCCATGGGACTTCCAAGTGGAGGTGTCCAAGAATGAACTGAGAACGTGGGCCAGGAGTTCAGGTGAGCAAACTGAGCTGAGGGTGTAAACTTGGGAGACGTGAGACATTACCGAGGGATAATGTACAGGGAGAGAAGTAAAGGAGACCCAGGATGGAGTCTTGGGACACCCCAACAATTTAAGGAACCAACAGAGGAAGAAAAGTTAGTGAAGAAGCCTGAGAAGGAGTAAGCAGACAGGTGGGGAAAAAACAAGCTTGAAGAGGTGGTGATGTATTTGAGAATTGGAGAGAGAATTATATCGAATGTGACCAAGAGACAGGGTATGAGAGCTCAAAGGATTCAGTGACAATGGAAGTCATTGGTGACTTCAGAGGGAGCAGTTTCTGGGACCCTTCTGGGGGCAGGAGCCAGACTGAAATGAGTCGAAGAATGAATTGTGGAAGTGGAGACAACTCTTTAGAACCATTTTCTCTGAGGAGGGAAGGTAGGGTCAGAGATGGAGGAAGGCGTAAGGTTGGGGCAGAGAGGTGTGTTCTAAGTAGAAAAAGACTTGGACATGTCTAAATGCTGGTGGGAAGGATCCCTTAGGGGAGAAATTAAAGACACAGGAAAGAGAAGAATTGGGGGAAAGAAAGGGTCACTGGGTATAGGTTATTTACCATCATACAAGGTGCATCCCATACACTTTTAATATTTAATCCTCTCAACCTGCCTGTGGTTTCACATAACCACACTTACTTCCTTCACAAGCTCGTACCAGAGTCAGTAAATTATTTTAATTATTCTTTGGCTTGTTTACTGACTCTCTTTCCCATGGCTCTCTCCAGGGAGTTCCCGTCTATCTTATCTTGATTGATTTTTTAATCGTGGCACTTAACACTACCTGATATCATGTTATTTGTTTGTTACTTGCTTTCTGTCTGTCTCCACCCACCAAAAATGGAAACCCCAGGGGATATGGTACTAAGTCTGACTTGTTCTCCACTCCACCCCAGCGCCCAGCATTATCCCCAGCTCATAGCAGGCACACAACAAATAGGTGTGGAATGAACGAATGGAATGAATGAATGATCTAAGAAAGGGTTCTGAGAACTACGAAGTACGATTCAAAGTGAAGGACAGGGAGAAGAGCCTAACACTGATCAAACTTGTACCATATACCGCATAGACAGCTTCACCTAAACTTCACGGCAACTTTGGGAGGCAGGAAGTATCGGCCCCTTTGCAGAAATGAAGAAAATGAGCTCCACAGAGATCTGAAATAGTGTCAGAAATAACACCGCTAATATGTGGAGGCATCAGAATTGAAGGCCAGGATGTTTTAATTTTGTTATTTGTTGTTGTTGAATGGTTTGTTTTTCTCAAAAATCTGGGTTTATTTCCTGCCTCCCGTGGCCTCTGGGGATGATCACAGATTCTTCTCCGCACCCGTCCTCAGGACTGCAGGTCCGGAAGGAGCGGCTGACAGAGGCTGGCGTGTGTTCCAGAACCATCCCCCGGCTGCAGGCATGCAGAAGGACCAGTGCCTTCCCCGGGCTGGTGGTGGCCGGGGCTGAGTTGAGGACGGTCAGGAGAGAGATCTGAGACAGAACACGGACAGGGCCTGAAGGGTATTGAGAGGTGGAGCAGAGAAACAGCGGGATGTCCAGGCTGGACTCCCAGGTTTCAGTTTCAAGGCGCGGTGTCCAGTGCTGCCGATGGCTGATACCCAGAGAAGAGGAGCAACTGTGGGAAGGGAGGTGGCGTCCGTCTTGGATGGGCCGAGCGGGCGGGGCCTGTGGACATCCAGGTGGTGGTGTCCAGTGTGAAGCTCAGGGGAGTGGCCGAAGCTGGGAGTGGTCAATGGAGCCCTCGTGGCGGATGCTCTTGCCGAGGGCAGCAAGGTGAGAGGGAGGGGCTGGGGCAGCCCCAGCATTCCCAGGTGTGGGCACAGAGGGTCTGTGAACAACGTTCAGAGGAGCAAGGAGTCAGTAAGATGGGAGAACATCCCTTCTGAACTTTGCGGCTATAAGGACAAAAGACAAGACAAATGAGCTTTTCTGTGTGTTCGCTCAACAGAATATTTTACAGCCTCCCTGGATAAACAAGCTGTCATCTACCACCCAACCCTCTATCAACTGAAGCAGCTTGGGGAAAAGATAAGACTGTGGGTTTGGATACTCGCAGCTGCTGGTGCCTAATTACTACACAAGCAAAACAAACCCAGAGAGTTGTAGGCAAAGAGGGACTTGTTGGCTGCCTGGAGAGGAGAGTCATTTCCCCGCTCCCTGGGGAGGGATGGAAGACAAGCACTGACATATGTTGAGCTCCTACTGTGTGCCAGACAGTTGGCACATGCCATCTTACTTAATACAGTGTAAGGGTATCATCCCCTTTTGGCAAATGAGGAAACAGAGGCTCAGGGAGGCCAAGTTAAAGGATGCACACCAGGGTCTTCCCGCTGCACTTCACTGCCTCCCTGGACAAGGTCCAGGTTTGTTTCCTCTCTGTTTCCCCAATCTTGCAGAGTGACGTCCGAATGCTGTGGTCATGATTTTGCAGCTCTGCTGAGTGTTTTGCAGGAGACATCTGTTTGTAAGAGAGAAACCTGTTGGGCTCAGCAGCAGGGCGACAGCTACAAAGGAAACTGCTATTGAGAGCATGGCCTTGAGCTCTCAGAATTGTGGTATATTCAGAACAGATTGACGGAGAGGATAATTCCAAGGGAATCCATGTGCACGTTTCCTCCTGCCCTGCTCCACGTGTGTCTGTCCAAGGTGGAATCGGGAAGAGGGAAAGGAGGTGAGGGAGGTTGTAGAGGAACTGGACTGGCCCTCAAGGAGATGTCAGCAGTCTTCTGGCTCAGGGGACAGGGCAGCTGATTCCTCCTATTCCCTCCTCTTCCTGACCTTGGAGATGGGGAAATGGGGCCCAGAGAAGATAAGTGACCAGACTGTGACCAGATTAGATCCCAAGTGCCTTGCCTCCTAGCCCACAGTGCCCTTCCCAAGATAACATGCAAGTTCATAAGAGGCCAAGAAATCCATCTATAAGGAAAATTTATATATGTATTACTTGTATGATTTAAATTAACTTATTTTTTCCTTTAAAAAAGAATTCTGATATATATCTTCCAATACAAATGGGCAAAGACCACATCTCTGTATAAAGAGAGATGTCTATACATTTCTACATAAAGAGAACAATAGCCAAAGAACAACCAGAATGTTTCTAGTACTGTCTTTTATCATGAATTTGTACAACTGTACACCACATTCCAGCCACACAGGCCCTTGAAGCCCCCAACCTGGTTCCTGTCTCAGGACTTTTTCCCTCACTATTCCCTCTGCCCAGGACACACGTCTCTAGGCTTTCAGAGCTAGATTCCTCTTGTTAATGAGATCTCAACTCATATGTCACCTCCTCTGAGAGGCCTTCCCGGACTACCCTTCCTCAAGTAACCATACCGTCACTCCCCATTAACAGTGGATCTCAAACTTGAGCATGCATCAGATTCACCTGGAAGGCTCAAACTACAGATTTCTGGAACCCACTGCCAGAGTTTGTGATTCAGCAGGCCTGGGGTGGATCCTGAGAATTTACATTCTCACAGGTTTCCAGGTGTGCTAGTGCTATTAGCCCAGAAACAACACATTGGTAGCTACTGCTCTATTTAACATCACCCTGTTCTTTTATTGTCTTCATAGTGTTTATCATAGTCTGAAAGAATCTTGGTAATCTATTCAGTTACTTTACTATGATCTGCCTTTCATACTGATTGGACGCTCCTGAGAGCACAGTATCTGTCTATCTTGTTCACTGCAGTATCCCCAGGACCCAGAACAGAATCAAGTATATATAATAGATGTTCAATGAGTATTTGTTGAATAAATGAATTTGCGAATGGGTAGATGGATGAATGGATGATAGATGGTGAATGGGTGGATGGGTGATGGGTGATGGGTGATGGGTGATGGGTGATGGATAGATGGATGATAGGTAAATGATGGATACATAGGTGATGGGTAGGTGGATGGAAGGATAATGGATGGATGCTCACCTCAGCCTCTGGATTCCTACCTCTGTACATGCCATCTTTTTTCCACACCAAGTTTATCCACAGGTAAAAGCAAATCCAATCTTCAATTTCCAAAATCCCACAGATGAAAGCAAGAATATAGAACATTTTGCCAAGGGTGTTGGAAAGCCATGGCCATGAGACACATATTACAAAATGGCAACTGACTTAAAACTGCACATAAGCACAGATGCTCTTAAAAGCCATTTTAGCTACCCCATCACCCCAAGTGGTCCCTAGCCTTCTGCCATCTTGAAGTCGGCTCTCTCCTATACTTTTTCCTCCTCTTCCTTCTCCTCCTGGCTTC